TGTGTACACAGGACTTGTTGTGAAAGAATATTGCAGAAACCACTGTGTCTCACTTCTGCCTACAGCATATGTGTGGAACTGCTCATTAACTTGGCCGCCTATAGCATTTAAGTACAGTATTGGAGGTTGAAACATTAAAGAAGGTTTCATCTGCCTTTTTAAGATGAATGTAAAGATGCTGTGGCAATCGGGTATGCAAAAGAGGAAAGAGGAGAATGAATAGCAAATAGATTGATATGAGAATAAATAATAAATGATCAAAGTACAATTCAAAAATTTTTAAAGTCTATCAAAAAGTGTCCAAAGTAAATAAGTCTCATTAGGAAATAAAGTTTGCTCTACTAGAGGTGTTTTCTTCATTCAAAACAGTTTTAAACTACCATTGCTAAATTTGTACTTTTATATCTTATTGGATTTGTCTTTGCTTGGATGCAGCTTTAGGAATGTTTGCTTCAGTTCAAATATATGTATTTGCCACTAACATCCTATTTTTGCAATTTGAGTTTGTATTTTGTTCAAAAATGCAAAGTGAATTTAAAATATGAATAAACACCACTGAAATTCTATGTAATGCTTAGTTGCTTTGAAGCAGTGATTTTGTTCAAAGGGTGTTATTTAAACCTGATTTTCACTTGTTTTTGATTCATCTGCTCCTTGGGAATTGTATCAAATTTTTTGCAACTCTTCCAAGTAAGTCGACATGCATAAATTTTAGAGTAAAAATGCAACTGCTATTTCTACTACTAAAATATGATGGAGTTGAGTAAGTCAATTTCTCTGTTTCCTTAACCCAAGAGGGCTGTGTTTTTTTTTTCAGAGTGATGTAGCAGAGAATGAGGAAAAACTGTGGGTCATGAGGTCTACTGTCACCTTGCTTTCCAAGGCGACACTTACCTTCCTTACCCCTGAGAGAATTATTTAGATAGAAAAACCAGTAAAACTAATACATATAAAACTATAACAATAGATGATGCATACTGATCCTATTCATCTCATATACTTCAAAATGGAGTATGTCCTTTACGTTCATTTCCAAATGTTACTGTTGTTTTATGATTTTCCCTCAGGGCAACCATTCTTTGCCTATCTGTTGTATGAAAATGGGACCTGCAACCTTCTCAAACACTTATATACAAAGGGAAGTAGGAGTAAATGACCTAAGCATTCCCGCAAAAGGGATATAGATAAAAGATAGACACAGTTTTAAATGTTAAAGACATCAAGTGGTATGGAGAAAATGTGGGAATATGGCATTTAGATAGAGGATCTGATATGACATATTGAATGGTGGATTGGGACTCAATGGGCTGAATAGTCTTCTCTGGTTCCGTGTTTGTGTGTCTGTGTTTCAGTGGAGCCTTCTAGAGGCCACTTTTCCCTCCAATCTTGGCCTAGTACTAAATGGCTGAAGGCTTCACTCTCAGTGGAGACATTCATTGAAAACTTTGTTTCAGGGCTCATCTACACCTTTAACGTCTTCTGATGCTTCCTCTGCTGCTGCGGTGATGCCTGCACCAGTTTGGTGGGATTTTGTCTCCTTGCCTCAGTTGTCTCCATCAGTGAAATATCTGCCAAATGTAACATGAATAACCAAGTTAATTAGGTAGGGGTTAAGGCAAATTTTGAGGGAGAAGCTGAAATCCTGTCCCCACCAGAAATCCACCCCATAGAGAAGAATCAAATTTTGTTTCAGTCTTGTCAATCCGCAAAATTAGGAACAATATCTTGTTTTATTTTTCCACTTGTGCCCATTCTCCTTCTCATTTGAAGGCATTGATTCTATGACCGGGCTAGATCACCTTCAGGAAAAGGTGTTTCCGCTTTCCGAAATTACATGGGTATGGATAGCAGGTCAGACTATTCTGGGGCCTAATGATTTGCTGTGGTCAAATGACTCACTGGCACTCACTGTCTGGCGTCCAATAAAGATCAGCTACTTGGACAAAGTACGGTGATGTGTCTTTGATATCACACCCCTGCACTGGCTCAGTGCCCTCAAAGCAAAAGGAAGAAAATTGGTTGAGAGAGAAGAATGAGAGAAGCCTCATCTTTAATGGATCGATATTGAATTAGCTTGTCAGAGTTAATAAAAGTCACTTTTTTTGCTTTCTTTTCATTGACAATATTTTTAGCCAACCACTTACATTGAAACCATAAATTACTGTGTTAGTACACAGAACATGTAGTCAAATAAAACAAATAGCTTGATAAAGACATTGAATTGAGTGTCTCATTTGAAACTTGGGCCTGAATTAGCTGAGTGTATGCAAGACTTGTTCTCACCAATCACTAAAGATATACCCTTGGAAAGCGGAATATATCATTGGTGATTATCATGACCGGTAATCAGAAATACTTTGTATACACGTGGTGAGGAGTTAACATTTTTGACAAGTGACGAGTGGAGGGCTGTGTGTTGTAGAAGAGTATGAAAGATCCAGAAAACCAGGGTCCTCTGCATGCTTTGGAGTTTTAACTTCACTGTGTGTGTGTGTGTGAGATATCAATGACAGGCTCCCCACCAGATACCAACCAATGGACAAGGTTGAGGGTTGGAGCTGTCCAGTCAGCAAATATTGGCTCCTGCAGCTAAAGGCTTTTTGAATCCAGTTGTTACATGCATACATATAAATATATGAACATAAGAAGTAGGAGCTGGATTAAGCCATTCAACCTCCGAACCAGCTCTGCCTTTGATAGGTTCATGGCCGAACTGATAGTAGCCTCAACACCACTCTCCTGCCAACCCCTGATACCATTTGACACCACTGTCCCCTCCCCTGTTAGTCAAGAATCCATCTGCATCTGCCTTGAAGACCTGTCTGGACTGCACTCTAGGAAGTAAGTTCCAAACTACTCATGGTCTTCTGACAGAAAATGTCTCTCAGCCCCACTTAATTGCTGAATTTTCCACGGTTAAATTTCAAATGTTGAACAAGAATGATGTATGCCGTCTCATCCTAATGCTTAAAGTGTCAACTTACATCCTTGGAATGGGCTGGATCACTTGCTGCTGTCATTATAGCTCTGTTAAAACCAGAATTTGTTTAATAAGAGACAGGTTGAGATCAGGATTCAGATGTTTAGCACTTTAACACCCCACCCAAGTCACATCTGTCTGTCTTGTGGTATTACAGTTCTCCTCAACAGTTTTCTAAAGCCTTTATAGTTATTAGAAAATGCAAAATTATATTATTGTATAGTAAAATCCTGTGAAGGCCAGGACAAAAAAAAATGCTGATACATTTATGTGTGTGGCACAAAATTAAATAGAGTAATGATGTTAGTTGTTAAGTGAGCAAGAGAATTAGAGGAAAGATTTTAAAATGATACGTTTATATTAGTGCATATTGGTGAAAATTGTAAGTAAGTTGAATTCTCAAAGGAGACTTTGAAATGAACATAAGTGATGTAAATAATCCTTTTAAATTAAAGTGGGACAAATTAAGCAAGGTTTCACTTTGCTTCACAATCATTTGGCTGACTTCTGCTTGAAGTAAACTTTGGGGGTTGGTTAAGGACAGGGTCAGGCTCCACAGTGATGACCCAAAGATAAATAGCTGCTTTCCAAATTCTCGGAAGAATAGCAAGCAGAACAAGACACTAGAAGATGACCCTTATCCCACAAAGCGTTCATTACAGTCCAGAAAATTGGCAAGTGGAGAAAAACCAACATTGGCAATGTCAGATTATGAGCTATAATGTTATTAGCTAAGGGCAGATCACAGATATTGCACTTAGTTTTTCAGCAATCTAACTGGTGTCACAGAGATGACACCTTTGCAAACATTTTTATAACACATTCTTTCAGGTTCATAAATTGTGAACATTTAGGCCCCCGTGGTGAAATGAATTCTTTCTCCGTTTAGTCTTGTTTAAAAGAAATAGGGCTATGAGCATAGATGGGAAAGAATAAATTTTGCAACCTTAACTCTTCAATAGGTGAGGTTCCTGCAGGGATGTGTCATAACAACTAATTAAAAGATCTCGTTAAGTACCACATCATCTAATAATAATCACTTGACTATTCTATATTTTTCATTGCATAGTTTTATTCAATTCAAAAATGTAATTAACTGTGAAGAATATACTTATTATGACTGTACATGTCTTTCCCATATTCCAAGTCTTATCATGTGAGTAGATAATTAAATTATTTCAAAAAGAAATTACAACAGTGAAAAAAAAATACATTTCTCCCATTCATGACTTTTGTTTTGTATACCATACCCGTTTTGGGATGACTTATAGAGGTTGGAATTCTGTCCTATGAAAAAAGAATGAGCGTAGTCACAGATCCTATGCTATTTAGTTAATGCAAAATGCATGGCAGAAAACAGAAGCAATAAAATTGTTCATTGCATTGAATGTGTAGTAATATACTGTATTATCTCCATAATGTTTTGTTTGTGCTTTCAGTGCTTATTTAAGTAATTTTTCAACACACAGTCCTAATACAATATGAAATAAAAGCAGAAAATCCTGGAGAACCTCAGCAGGTCTGCAACATCTGTGGATAAAGAAATAGAGTTAACACTTGAAATCTGATATGCTATTTTAGCTCTGAAGAAGAGTTGTATTGGACTCAACATGTTAACTCTGTTTCGTTCTTCGCAGGTGCTGCCAGGACTGCTAAGTTTCTCTAGCATTTTCTGTTTTTATCTCAGCTTTCCAGAATCCAAGGTATTTTGTTTTTATTTGAATGTTAGATTCCTAATACAGTGTTCTTAATTTTCAGTACTTTGAAAATCTCAACTCCTGCCTATCAGCTCCATTTCTAAAAGTCATGCGTGAACCTTGAATCTTCTATTCTGGAACTGCTTTATTTAGCTTTATATCCTATTGCTGTGTCTAGGACTTGGCTTATCAAATGATCATCTGGTCCTCTGGTTACTGCTTATTTAAATATTAAAACAGCTGTGTATTGTGGTTATTGTTCAGCAATTACATTTCTAATAGTCATACTGATGTTCTGTTTATTAATTCACCTTGCTTTGCAGTTATTTGGTTATGCCTTTTATGGGAACAGACCTTAGCAAATTAATGAAGCATGAGAAACTGACTGAAGACCGGATCCAGTTTCTGGTGTATCAAATCTTGAAAGGCCTAAAGGTCAGTTTGTCCTCCAGTCATTAATTTTGACTATGGGAATATGATATTAGTTAATAGCCTGGCCAGTTTTAAAATGAAAGGTTTATGGCAATACGTATAATTTTAGACAAGTGAATTAGAACTTTATGCCCTTGTATTACTTCAAGGCATATTATATAAATTTGCATGACATGTAATTATCGATAATTGTTTTTTCCACCAGAATACAATAAAAACATTCTTTTGACTCTTCCATTCCCACAAGCATACTTCAAAACAGTATTCTGAGGATGTGGTTTCACTGGTGTATTGGAATTCATTGTCCATCCCGAGCTGTTCTAAAAATATGGTAATGGGTCTCTTGAACCAGTGCAGTGGTATGATGCAGCTGTTTGTTTGGATGAACCGCTTCTCAGAGCAGTTAATATCTAACTTCGTTTTCCAGCATCTTTTTTATTTTTATTCATTCATGGCATGAGGGCATAGTTGGCTAGGGCAGCATTTATTGCCCGTCCCTACTGCCCAGAGGGCAGCTAAGAGTCAATCACATTGCTGTGGATCTGGAGTCACATGTAGGCCAGCCAAGGTAAGGATGGCAGTTTCCTTCCCTAAAGGGTATTAATGAACCAGATGGATTTTTCTGACAATGGATTCATGGTCATCGTTAGAGTCTTAATTCCAGATTTTTATTTAATTCACAATCCACATCTGCCATGCCAAGATTTGAACCTGTGTCTCTGGATTAACAGTCCAGTGATAATACCACTAGACCATTTCCTCCCCTGATTTTGCATGTTGGAATACTCCACAAACTAGTATCAATTGCACACTTTAGTAACTAAGAGACTTTCCAATTTGAACCAGCACACAAGTGCTATTGGGTAACCTTGTGACCCTCTTTTGGTAGAGATGCTGGGACTAGCACAATTTGACACTCGTGGGACAGCTTGAAGTGCTATTTGAGATATTGTTTGATCATTTTCTGGGAGTGATGGTCACTACTGAATGTGAGAAAACAGCATGGATTGCACGTTTTATGACCCTTTGCAGTATCTGGCATCTTTGAATTACCACTGATAACACAAAATTAGCCATGTGGATCTAAAGCTAAAAATAGTCTAGAGCTGGCAAGCACAGAAGGTTCCTTTCCAAAACAAGATTACTGAACCAGTTTATATTTTTTGTTTAACAGTTCATATTTATTTTTACTGATGCCAATTTTTTACTTCCATAATTTAGTTTCAATAAAATTCAGATTTTCCGTTTGACTGGGATTGAACTCCAGTTCCCTCTGGTTTACTGGTTCAATAATGTAACTATACACCACAGTAACTCATTTACGTTCAAATATTGCACACAGTTACTGTTTGTAACTGAGGATCAGTTCCATTCAGCATACATCTTATTTGTATTCTTGTGAAATGAAGAATGGCACCAAACAGAACTTGAAACTTTGTGAACAATAGCAATATTTTTCTAGTTTTGATGACAAATGCGACTTAATGCTTTGGCAGCAATGAGAATTTTCACCTATAGGGTCTTTAACGCAGAAAATATGCAAAAGTGCTTTGCAGAAGAGGACTAGCTGGTGAACCTCAGTGTGTGAAATAAGAGAGATAAGTTAAAACCAGGTTTTGAAGAGAACTTCAGAACACACATACACCCTAGCTGTAATGTGCTACCAGAAGTGGATCTGCACCCACACAAGAGTAATTTGCAAGTGCAGTTCACTCGCAAAAATAGCATGATGTTACCCTGCAGCTGACTGCAGCACTGGCTTGAGGTTACGTAGGTGTTAAGTTTTCATCCTGTTCCTTCATTATCGTCTCTCAGAAATATGCTTAGCGTCGCGGCATTTGTGAAATACAGCTTTCACATAAAAGTATTTTTTTCAACCAAGCAGGAAAGCCAGAAGCAGTAAAGATTCTGGCTTCTTGTCAGTGTATTGTGTTAATTTAATTAAGGAAGTAACTTCAATTTATATTGGCAGGATATTAACCTGGTCTGTGATGTCTGGAAATTCTTAACTGCAAACTCCTTAGACTCACAGATTTATGTATTTTGAAGTGGTGCCAAATTTTTGGAGGTCGTGCACTGACATGGATCGAGAACTGGCATAACAGGAAACAAATAGAAAGAATAACCGGGTACAAAAGCAGAAATTGCTGGAGACACTCAGGTCTGGCAGTATCTAGAGAGAAATCAGAGTTAAAGCTTCAGGTCCAGTGACTGTTCCTCAGAACTGAATGAACAATTCATTTTATAAGTGGCAGCTAGTGACCAGTGTACACAGAGATCAGTTGGACTCCAGCTATTCAATATATATATGAGAGAGAGAGAGAGAGAGATTTAGGTAAGGAAGCTAAATCTAAAATCTCCAAGTTTGAAGATGACTCAAACCTGGGTGGACTGGTGAGCTGTGAGGAGGATGCAAAGATGCTTCAGTGTATTTTGTACAGATTGAATGGGCAAATGCATGGCAGGTGAAGCAAAATGTGGATAAATGTGAGGTTATCCACTTTGGTAGCGAAAGCAGGAATGTTGATCATTATCTGAATGGATATAGGTTGGGAAAGATAAAGGTGCAACAAGACCTGGGTGTCCTTGTACACCAGGGTCACTCAAAGTAAGCATGCAGGTGCAGCAGGCAGTGAAGAAGGCAAGTGGTATGTTGGCCTTCATAGCGAGAGGATTAAAGTACAAGAACAGGGATGTCTTGCCGCAAACATACAAGGCCTTAGTGAGATCACACTTGGAGTTTTGGTCTCCTTAATTGAGGATGTTCTGGCTAAGGAGAGAATGCAACAAAGGTTCACCAGACTGATTCCTGGGATGGTAGGATTGAAGAAAGACTGGATCAGTTAGGATTATATTCACTGGAGTTTAGAAGTATGAGGGCAGATCTCATAGAAACCTGTAAAATTCTAACAGGACTAGGCAGGGTAAATGCAGAAAGGATGTTCATGATGACTGAGAGTCCAGAACCAGGGGTCATAGTCTAAGGATACAGGGAAGGCCATTTAAGACTGAGATAAGGAGAAATTTCTTTGCCGAGAGAGTTGTGAGCCTGTGGAATTCTCTGCCACAGAAGGCGGTTGAGGTCAGAACATTGAACGTTTTCAAGAAGGATATAGATATAGTGCTTGGGGCTAAAGGGTATGGGATGAAAGCAGGAACAGATTACTGAATTGGATGATCAGCAATGTTCATATTGAATGATGGACCAGCTTGAAGGGCCGAATGGCCTACTCCTGTTCACATTTTCTATTATTAGGTTTCTGTATTCACAATTCTGGGAAAGTAAGTAGAATGTGCACGTAAAAGGTTGAATTTAATGCAGGGAGCAGAGTCCCAATGCCTCTAGTGTAAAGGTCATAGGTGAGCCCAACCCCACTTGGCTGGCGTACTCTGGATCCATTTAATAACTGCTCATGACCCAGCAGCACCACCAGGAGCAGTGATCACTGCTGAATCCACCGAGGTCAGGGATGAACGTGTAATGCGATGGAGCCAACATTCAAGCTAAGTCTGGGATCTCACCAGGCCTAGGCTGTTAGGCCATTATGAAGGAGCAGGATGGAAGGAGGCACCACTGAGATGGACAGAGCAGAGAGGACAGGAAACAAAAGGAGTTCAGGGAAGTCTATGAAGGCACTCTGATTGACACAGAGGCTAAAAAAAAAGGTCCACTCACCCTTCCTGACTAGCAGTCTCCATGGCTTACAGTGCATGCTGAACACTTGGTGCTAGTTTGCAGCATCACGGGTAAAATCCATCAGTGGTGGCAGGACGCTCTTAAGAGGCCAGTAACTGAGTAGAATTGGAGTGAGGTGAGCAGGTGAGCACAGGGAATAGTGCCACTGGCATGGAGCCTAATTTTACAGACACCCTACCACCATCACTCAACCTTAAGAGCCATAAGTGTTCATCACAAAGTTTGCAGTCTTCAACATTAGGAATTTTCAATAAACTGGCATGTAAATTCCTTGCCACTCTAATGTTGTGGAATTGTAAAGTGCAGAAAATACAGCAAGGCATTTAATTTTAACATCTCTATTTGCAGATTGTTAGACAAGCAAAGGAGGCCATTTGTTGGATTTATTCAGATTGAAATCATGCTCGCATTCTAGCGGCAAAAAACTTCTAAAATTTTACAGAATAAGTCTGTCAAGTTTTTGTTTCTAAACAGGTTACTTTCAAACCCATGTAGATAGTTGAAATGCAATTTTATGAAAACCAAAGTTAACAGAGCATTAGAATTTTCTCAGGATCTGTTAGAAGCAAATGCCCTTAAATTCTAACATTTCATTCACACACAAAGCAGGTCCAGGGAAATGTTTCTTTTTCTGTGGGATATGGAAGGATGAGCAGAATTCTTTTTACGCGGTGAGTTATGCACTGCCTGAAAGGATGACGGATGCAGATTCAGTCATCTTTACAAAAAGAGAATTGGATATGTACTTTTAAAAAGGTGTGGGGGTGGGGTAATGTTAGAGCTTTGGGAAAATAGCAAATAAGTGAAACCAAAGGTCCCTCAAAGCACAATGGTGTGAGAGCCAGCGGCATGTCTAGAACGCAAACCTAAAATCAATCCCCCATGGCCTACTCTGAAATTTGCATACGTGTACAAACTAATGTTGAACTAATTTATCCTTCACAGCCACCATTATGGCTGCCAAATTTTACTGTGTGGTTTTGCATCAATGTGGTTGGAAACTGTTATGAACAGCAATAGCAAACGTGGCTGAAAGTGAAAAGGAAATCTTTAGACTGTAGTGGAAGGATATTGATGGCTTCATCAGTTTGGAAAATGGAATTCAATCCAGAGAAATGTGAGGTTATGCATTTTGGAGGGTGCAGTAAAACATGGAATATGCAAAAAAAATGCAACCTACTGGCAAGTACAAAGAAACAAAGCGACCCCGCTCATAGTTTCTTAATGGTAGCAGGACAGCTCAATAGATAATTAAGAAAGCATATGACATGCTGTGCTTTATTATACAAGGCATCGAAGTATAAGGGCAGGGAGATTGTACATGAACTGCATAGAACACTTATTAGACCATAGCTTAGATATTGCATGGAGTTCCAGCCTCCACATTACAGGAAAGATGTGACTGCACTGGAGATGTATAAGAATGTTGCAAGAATTAGAAGTTTTTAGTTTATTTGAGATGCATAAAGTTATGATGGCCCTAAATAAAGTTAATAGAATTAACCTATTTACCTTAACAGAGAGGTCAAAAACCAGGAAGCGTAGTTTGACAATAATTGAGAGGTGTTCAAAGGGGAGTTGAGGAAAAATTCTTTCATCTACACAGTGAAGGGGACCTTGAACTCACTGCCTAAATGAACAGTAGAGACAGAAAATGTCAGCACATTTAAAAATAATTTGGATGTCTAGTTGAAGAGCCCTGACTTGCAGGTCTTTAGAGGTAGTGTACGAGATGAGGCTGAGTTAGCCCTTTGTCAGCCAGCAAGGAAACAATGCACCAAATTACCTCTTCCTCTGCCATAAATTTTCAATGATCTCTGTAATTTCTATAGACATTTTCACTAATTAACCTTTGGTCCATGCCATAGATTACATGTACTAGTCAACTGTTGACACCTCAAAATCTAGCTGTTGGTCCTAAATTGTTGCTGGACTCACAGTTGATATAGCCCAAACATGTGTATATATTTTTGGTGATTATATATTCATTCTGATGATTTTTGAGGACTCATTCTGATACATACATCTTTCACAAGATCAGAGCAACAGCTGGTCCCTGTTCTCATAGCCTATTTGGTCTTGGACATCTTCTTCAGGATGGATTCTTCCTACTTCCATTCCCACAAGAGTATTTCACTCACACCAAACCCCTTTGCTGCAGCGTGTTAATAATTGCTACAATTTTTAGCTTGAAAACAGCATTTTATTTTATTTGAGATAACAAGATGTAGAGCTGGATGAACACAGCAGGCCAAGCAGCATCAGAGGAGCAGGAAAGCTGACGTTTCGGGTCGAGACCCTTCTTCAGAAATGGGGGAGGGGAAGGGGATTCTGAAATAAATAGGGAGAGAGGGGGAGGTGGAAAGAAGATGGATAAAGGAGAAGATAGGTGGAGAGGAGACAGATAGGTCAAAGAGGCAGGGATGGAGCCAGTAAAGGTGAATGTCAGTGGGGAGTTAGGGAGGGGATAGGTCGGTCCAGGGAGGATGGACAGGTCAAGGAGGCGGGATGAGGTTAGTAGTAGGAGATGGGGGTGGGGCTTGAGGTGGGAGGAATGGTTAGGGGGGCGGGGACAAGCTGGGCTGGTTTTGGGATGCAGTCGGAGGAGGGGGAGATTTTGAAGCTTGTGAAGTCCACATTGATACCCTTGGGCTGCAGGTTTCCCAAGCGAAATATGAGATGCTGTTCCTGCAGCTTTCGGGTGGCATCATTGTGGCAATGCAGGAGGCCCAGGATGGACATGTCGTCCAAGGAATGGGAGGGGGAGTTGAAATGGTTTGCAACTGGGAGGTGTAGTTGTTTGTTGCGAACCGAGCGTAGGTATTCCGCAAAGCAGTCCACAAGCCTCCGCTTGGTTTCCCCGATGTAGAGGAGGCCACAACGGGAACAGCGGATACAGTATACCACATTAGCAGATGTGCAGGTGAACATCTGTTTGATGTGGAAGGTCTTCTTAGGGCCTGGGATGAGGGTGAGGGGGGAGGTGTAGGGGCAGGTATAGCACTTCCTGCGGTTGCAGGGAAAAGTGCCGGGGGTGGTGGGGCTGGAGGGGAGTGTGGAACAGACAAGGGAGTCCCGGAAAAAGTGGTCCCTCCGGAAAGCAGATAAGGGTGGGGAGGGAAAAATGTCTTTGGTAGTGGGGTCGATTGCAGAAGTGTCAGAGGATGATGTGTTGGATTCGGAGGTTGGTGGGGTGGTACGTGAGGACGAGGGGGATTCTGTTTTGGTTGTTATTGCGGGTAGGGGGTGTGAGGGATGAGTTGTGGGAAATGCGAGAGACACGGTCGAGGGCATTTTTGACCACTGTGGAGGGGAAGTTGCGGTCCTTGAAAAACGAGGACATCTGGGATGTCCGGGAGTGGAATGCCTCATCTCGGGAGCAGATGCGGCGAAGGCGAAGGAATTGGGAATAGGGGGTGGCATTTTTGCAGGAAGGTGGGTGAGAGGAGGTGTATTCTAGGTAGCTGTGGGAGTCGGTAGGCTTGAAATGGATATTGGTTTCCAGGTGGATGCCAGAGATGGAGACAGAGAGGGCCAGGAAGGAGAGAGAGGTATCTGAGATGGTCCAGGTGAACTTAAGGTTGGGGTGGAAGGTGTTAGTGAGGTGGATGAACTGTTCGAGCTCCTCGTGGAAGCACGAGGCGGCGCCGATACAGTCATCAATGTAACGGAAGAAGAGATGAGGTTTAGGGCCAGTGTAGCTATGGAAGAGGGATTGTTCCACGTAACCTACAAAGAGGCAGGCATAGCTTGTGCCCATGCGGGTACCCATGGCCACCCCCTTTGTCTGTAGGAAGTGGGAGGAATTGAAAGAGAAGTTGTTGAGGGTGAGGACGAGTTCGGCTAAGCGGATGAGGGTGTCAGTGGAGGGGGACTGGTCAGGCCTGCGGGACAGGAAGAAGCAGAGGGCCTTTAGGCCATCTGCATGGGGAATGCAGGTGTATAGGGACTGGACGTCCATAGTAAAGTTGAGGTGTTGGGGACCAGGGAATCAGAAGTTTTGGAGGAGGTGGAGGGTGTGGGTGGTGTCACAGACATAGGTGGGGAGTTCCTGGACCAAGGGGGAGAAAATAAAGTCAGGTTTGTGGATTTTGGGAAGGAGATAGAAACGGGCGGTGTGGGGTTGGGGAACGATGAGGTTTTTTTATTTTATTTGTTTTGCCCCAGGATCCTTTACTGTTTGCTGTTCATGGCCTGCTCTGTGTAAAATCCCAATGCATCTTCTTACACATCCTGAATTGCCTGCTTGATCCCATGTTTGAATGGATAAGATGAGCAAAACATTTCTGAGGTGAAAATTGAGCCTAACTCCTAATGTGAATGTAGCATTTCTTAGCAGAAGAGTAGGGAGTTTGATGTATATGCTGATATAGGCCTAGACATAATTTTTAGCGCTAAAACAAAAGGGTCATCTTAAACACAGTGTTGAGTTATGTTCTATGATACTTACATTCTTTGGGTGTTAAACAAGTTTTAATTGCATTCTAGAAAATACTAATAATGCTTTTATGCACTCCATCAAATTCCCTACAAATTTAGGTCCATCCTCTTTTCATTATGCATATGGTGTTATACTTAGTATTAATAATAGCTGTGTTAATATCCAAATTAATGTGAAGCCACAAAAGATGTATGTAAATAAATAGAGAACAGCATACAGAGATGTGTTTTCTAAATTCTAATGGTAATGTATTTGTCATAGAAAGAAACTCTAATTTGGACCAAATCGGTGTATCTGAAAAAATTAAATGTAAAGCTTTATTTTCTTTTTAATAGTACATCCACTCAGCAGGGATCATCCATCGGGTAAGCCATACTCCATGCAATTTTATGTTTAATTTCTAACAACATAGTTTATTGTCACCAAGCATCACAGGAAGTAATGAGATGTACCTGGATATCATGTTTTAAGACTTACAGTTACAAGGCTAAAAGAAGTCCGAAGTATTTCAGTATCTTAACATCTATCAATAATTTGAAATGAAATGTATTGCTCATTCTGGCAAGTTCTCTGATGAAGGCCCAGTTAGTATGTGAGTTGCTCGACAAATGTATCACATTGTGAGTCAGGAACTGGGAAATCCAAAGCAAAAATGAGTTCTACAACTTGTACAGAACTTTAATTTGATGCTATACCAGATTTACCAGGATATTGCCTGGTATGGAGGGAAGGTCTTATGAGGAAAGGCTGAGGGACTTGAGGCTGTTTTCGTCAGAGAGAAGAAGGTTAAGAGGTGACTTAATAGAGACATACAAGATGATCAGAGGATTAGATAGGGTGGACAGCGAGAGCCTTTTTCCTCGGATGGTGATGGCTAGCACGAGGGGACATAGCTTTAAATTGAGAGGTGATAGATATAGGACAGATGTCAGAGGTAGGTTCTTTACTCAGAGAGTAGTAAGGGCGTGGAATGCCCTGCATGCAACAGTAGTAGACTCGCCAACTTTGAGGGCATTTAAATGGTCATTGGATAAACATATGGATGATAATGGAATAGTGTAGGTTAGATGGGCTTCAGATTGGTTTCACAGGTCAGCGCAACATCGAGGGCTGAAGGGCCTCTACTGCGCTGTAATGTTCTATGTTCTATGTTCTTTATTTATCATAGTTTATTGTGATGCTCAAATAAAGGGATGTAGATTTTTCTTGATGGTCAAGTTGGAAGGATCAGAATTTTGTCTTATTTGTTTTGATGGAAAAGCATGTAATTTAGAACTTACTTTTCCTAAGGGACAGATGTTTTGTTTTAATTTTGATTTCAAAAGACTGAGATAGACCTGCATAGCCAGCATATTGGGAAATCCTATCACTAGCCTGTATGATTGGGCTGAAAGCTCGGATTGAATATCGCTAGAATTATTGACACTCACCGAGATCAGTTCTTGTCGTTATAATGGCAGTGCTGTTGTACCCAGAAATGCCAAGGACAACCATCTTTTGAGGACTTTTCAAAGACAGTTACTGCTCTGTGGATGAAGTCAAGGCTATAGCAGAGTATATAGCAGAGGCTATAGCAGAGTATAAAAAAAGGTCAAAGAAACTCTCGCCAAGCAAAGATTGGTTTTATTGGTTAATTTATGTTTTTAATGATTGATCTGTTATCAGGATCTTAAACCTGGGAATCTGGCCATCAATGAAGACTGTGAACTGAAGGTAGGCTCAATATTTTGATTGTGGTTCAATACATTGGTTTAAAAACTGGCAAAGAACAGAGCACCAAATTCTCTCAAAATATTTTGTGTATTCCTTGAAAGTATTAAGAGTGATATCTGCAGTACCAACGTGTCAACATGTGACGTTATTGTCTGTGAAGAGCAGAGGCACATATTTACTTCTGGCTTCACAGAAATAATTTAGCACTTACACTTCAAGACTGTTCCTCATGCCCACCAGATTTTATTGAGTAGGATGTCCATGATGCATGTTCCATCCAGAAGCCTATTAAAAAGTTGCAAGAAGTTCTCATTTGTGTCAGAGATTCAGGTGAGGTCCATGATCATCCATGAAAATAAGTCAGTGTACAAAAGGTCAGCAACTCAAGTTTAACTCTGCTACCACCAGGCACAGGCAGTTAACTTTACACTCTCTATTGTTCGTTGTTAGTGCTGATGACGGATTAATTTTTGTAAGAGACCATTAGACATCTGTTCATCCCCAAACACACCCCAGTACTGAAAGCTTGATGTCCTTCTTATTCAGTATTACTATCATTTCAGTTTAATTGGTTCAAACAGTATTACGGCTGGGTACCCCAGATAAGTTTGCTGATTTAAAAAATTGCTGTCTCTAGAGACGAAATTAAGAACAACCATGTTAACATAGTCACCTGAGATTCTTTGTATCGCCTTTCATCATAAAAGCTGAACCATTTGTTTCAAATAGATTAAAAAATACCACCATTATATAAAAATCAAAAGGTCATCAAAACACGTGGTCTCACATACAATTTAAATGTCCTTTACTCCACTTGGTACAAATGAGCAAATGTGTTGTCAGGATCAGTTCTGGTTTTGTTCCTTTAGCTTTAACTCTGTATTCTTGTCTGCTGCTGGTCACAACAACTGTAGCCTGATTCCAGCATTCCAAAAGTTAAAGACAGCTCATTAAATGGGTGGCGTGTGGAACATGTGCTGCACCCAGGTGAAAAGGGTCTATGCCATTGTTGTAATCCACACTTAACGCTTAGTAATAAACTGTTCCAGCTTGAAACTTGTGGAATGCAAGCCAGGTGTCAAGGTGCGAAGAAAATTCAAAATAGAGCAGAATGAGGCTATCTCTTCAAGGAACTTTTCTTCTTCCATATTAAGTTAGGCTCTGCCATCAGATTCAGGTTACATTTGTATTGTAATTATATGGTTAGAATAAGTTGAAAACTTTCTGCACCAACCCTACAGTTAGAATATGGGTGTGTTTTTAATGGAATTTTGAAAGGGTAAAGGAGAGGAAAAGCATTTATTAATATTCTCTTTTAGCAATCGTTTGTAATTCCTATGCAAATACTGCTCTCACTTTAAGGAACCAAGAGAAACAACTCGAGTTTTAGCCTGTACAACAGTACACAGGATTCTGCTTCATGTGCACAGTCACAAACAAACGTGTTCACCTTGACCTATTTAATGCTCTTTACTTTGCACTGTAGATTCTAGATTTTGGATTGGCAAGACATGCAGATCAAGAAATGACTGGTTATGTAGTTACCAGATGGTACCGTGCCCCAGAGGTAATACTGAACTGGATGCATTATACTCAGACAGGTAATCTTATACCTTGTATAGGTACGCTGTGGAGATGTGAAATCACAGTATTCCATTCTTTTTCCACCGCTACAAAAATGAAATGATATTAGATTTATTTTACAGTTTTATTTGTGTTCTGCCTGTGTGAGAAATGGATTACTTTAAAGTATATATGAATAATGCTCACATATCCTGAATTTTATTTTCCATTATCAGAATCTCATAGCTCTTGACCAAAATGCCATGAGCAACAAATAACTTGCATTTTCTACTTGCAGTACCAGCAAATCTCTTAATTATTGCACAACACACTTGCTTTAAAGTTAGAAAGGTGGAGCAGGGGTCAGAAATCAAGGTGACCATATGTTGCACCCACCCAGAGGGGTCAACATAGCTTCTATGCCATTTTCTTGGCCAGACCTACCTTCGATTCAGCAGATAAGCTGAATGGTCATACCTTCTGTATTCAGCTCGTCCATTGGGAAAGGAGATTAAAAAAATGTCCAGTTGAGTTTTTGCTATGTTGAGTGGTTCCAGATAGAATTTTAGCAAAATGTTCTGTGTTAGATCTCACCCTCAAATAGCCAGCCTGTCTCTCACATGAGGGTGCTAAGTGTGGGAGAGGAGTGAGGGTTGGTGCATTAAAATGTCATGACAACTGTCATAAGAAATAGGATCTGGATTAGGCCACTTAGTCTCTCAAACCATGGCTGATATGCCCCAGGCCCCTAGTCCTCTTTTGTGACAACTTATCATAGCTCTCAACATCCTGATATTAAAAAAAATCTACTTCCTCTTTAAATACTTAGTGACCCACACCTTCTGGGGTAGAGAATTCTAGACATTCACTACCCTCTTAGAGAACAAATTCCTTTAAATGAGTGTACCCTTATATAGATGACTCCTGGTTTAAGTTTTCTCCCACTAGTGGAAAAACGTCTCAGAATCTTGTACCTTTTCAATAAGATCATCCGTCTAAACACTAGTGAATAAAAGCTTAATCTGTTTAGCCATTCTTGATACCTCTTCAGGAATCATCTGATAAAGCTCTTTCGAACTGCCTCCAATGCCAATATATTTTTATTTAAAAAGGACGATCAAAACTGCACACTCTACTCCAGGTGTAGCCTCACCAACACCCTGTACAAGTAGTTGGAACAAAACACCCTTCTTTCAACTCCAATCCCCGAGCAATCAAGGCCAAGATTCTACTACCCTTCTTAATTACTTGCTGCACCTGCAGGCTAATATTTTGTGTTCCATGCTCAAGAACACCCAGGACCTTCTACTTCACTTCTTTGCATCTGTCTTCATTTAAATAATAGTCGACTTTTCATTTTTCCTAACAAAGTGCATAACCTTACACCTTCCTACATTAAACTTTATCTGTCAGGCTTCTGCCTCTACTCAACCTATCGACATTCCCTTTGCAGTTTCCTTATGTCTTCAATGCCACATGCGCTCCAACTTATTTTCATATCACCTACACATTCTGATAAATCGCACTCTGCTAAGTCATTAACGTAGTAGTAAATAATTGAGGCACAGGAGCGATCCTTAAGACACTCCATTGGTTATTTTGCCATCCTGGAAAAGATCCATCAATCCCAACTTTCTGCCTTCTATGTGATAGCCAATGCGAATCCATGCTGCTACATTACCCTCAATACCATGAGCTCCTATCTTGTGCAAGAACTTTTCTGTGGCAACTTGTGTGACATTGAACCAATGAGCGAACAGGCCATCTTACATTGATATTATGCAATGAGAAAGGAATGATTGGTAATGTAGTTGTGAGAGACCCCTTGGGGATGAGCGACCATAATAATGATAGAATTCTTCATTAATATGAAGAGTTAGGTGGTTGATTCAGAAACCAGAGACCTGAACCTGATTAAGAGAAACAACAATGGTATGAGGCATGAGTTGGCGATGATGGATTGGGAAATGTTACTGAAAGGAATGACCAGTAGATAGGTAAACATTCAAAGAGCAAATGGGTGAACAACAAAAATTGTTTATTCCTGTCTGATACAAGAGTGCAAAGAGAGCATTGACTAAACCATGGCTTCGGAGGGAAGTCAGAGATAGTATTAGATGCAAAAAAGAGGCATACAGATTGGCAAGAGAAAAGCAATTGACCTGAGGATTGGGAACAGTTTAGAAGGCAGCAGAGGAGGATGAAGGGATTGATTAAGAAGGGGAAAATAGGTATGAGATTAAGCTTGCAGGGAACATATGAACTGACTGTAAACGTTTCTATAGGTATATAAAAAGAAAAAGATTAGTGAAACCTAATGTAGATCCCTTACAGTCGGAAATGGGGGAGTTTGTAATGAAGACCAACAAAATGAATGATGAATTAAATTCATACTTCTGTCTTGACAAGGAGGACACAAGTAATGTACCAGAAATGATGGGAAATACAGGGTTTGATGAGAGGGAGGAACTGAAGCAAATCTGTATTAGTAGACAAATTTTGTTGGAAAAATCAAGGGAATTGAAGGCTGCTAAATCCCCAGGACCTGATAACCTGCATCCCAGAGTACTTAAAGAAGTGGCCCTGGAAATAATGAATGCATTGGTGGCCATCTTCCAAGATACTTTAGACTCTGGAACAATTCCTACAGATTGAAACGTAGCTAATATAACAGCACTATTTTAAAAGGGAGGTAGAGAGAAAACAGGGAATTACAGACCAGTAATATCAGTAGTGGGAAAGATGCAAGAGCCCGTTATCAAGGATTTAATGGCACAGCATGTAAAAAACCCTGGTAGAATCAGACAGTCACATGGATTTACAAAAGGGGCATCGTGCTTGACATCTACTGGAATTCTTCGAGGATTTTACTAGTAGAGCCTGTGGATGTTGTTTATTTGGACTTTCAGAAGACTTTCAACAAAGTCCCACTTCAGAAATGCATGTGTAAAATTAAAATGCATAGCTGGGGGTAGCGTTTGAGATGGATAGAAAATTGGTTAGCAGACAGGAAACAAAGAGTAGGAATAATTGGGTCTTTTTCTGAATGGTAGGTGTAATTAAGTTTATTACTGCAGCGATTGATACTAGGACCCCAGCTATTCACAATCTATGTCAAAGATTTAGATAAGAGAACTAAATGTAATATCTCATAATTTGCAGGTGAAACAAAGCTGGGTGGAAGGGCGACATGTTAGGAGGATGAAGAGATTTTGCATTAAGATTTGGACAGGCTGAGTGAGTGGTCAAATATATAGCAGATACAATATAATACCGTAACATGCGAGGTTATAACTTCTGTAGCAAAAATAGGATGGCTGCAGATTGAAAGAGGGGAATGTTCAATCATATGGTTGTCCTTGTGCACCAGTCGCTGAAAGTAACATTCAGGTGCAGCAGGCAGTACAGAAGGCAAGCTGTACGTAGAGGATTCGAGTACAGAAATAAGGAAAGTTTACTGCAATTATACAGGGCATTGGCAAGGCCACATCAGGAATTTGTGTGCAGTTTTGGTGTCCTTTTCTAAGGACGGATACACTTGCTATAGAGGGAGTACAGTGAAGGTTTACCAAATTGTTTCCTGAAATGGCACGACTGATGAATGAAGTGAGATTGTGTCGGTTAGGATTGTATTCGCTGGAGTTTAGAAGAATGAGGGGATCTCATAGAAACCAGCAAAATTCTAACAGGACGAGACAAATTAGTTGTACGAAGGATGTTTGCAATGGTGAGAGAGTCCGGAACCAGGGGTCGTAGTATAAGAATGAGGTATAAAACTTTAAGACTGAGCTGAGAAATTTCTTCACCCAGAGAATAGTGAGCCTGCAGAATTCACTACACAGGGAGTGGTTGAGGCTAAAACATCATGTGTTTTCAAAAAGGATGCAGATATAGCTTTTGCGGTTAAAGGCATCAAGAGATATGGGAGATAGTGGGATTGAGGTATTCAGCTCGATGATTAGCCATGATCAAATTTAACAGCGCAGCAGGCTTGATGGGTTGAATGGCGTACTCCTGTTCCTATCTTCTATGTTCTATAATTTATCAAATGTTTTCTGTAAATGCAAATACACTACATCAACAGGTTAGCTTTATCAACTCTGCTTGTTATATCATCAAAAAAACACTAAAACATCTGTTGAACATAGAGTCATGGAGTCATACAGCATGGAAACAGACCCTTTGGTCCAACTAGTCCATGCCAAACATAATCCCAAACTGAACTAGTCCCACCTGCCTGATCCTGGCCCATATCCCTCCAAACATTTCCTATTCATGTATCCATCCAAATGTCTTTTATACGTTGTAATTGTGCCCACATCCATCACCTTCCTCAGGAAGTTCATTCTGCATGCGAACCGCCCTCTGTGTAAAAAAATTTGTGTCTCATGTTCTTTTCTAAATCTCTCTCCTCTCACCTTAAAAATGTCCCCCCAGTCTTGAAATCCCCCATCCTAGGGAAAAGACACTTACCATTAACCCTATCTATACCTCTCATGAACATAATTTTTCTTTCACAAAACCACATTGACTCTTTTAGCTTGTGTTAAGTTTGTGTTGATGTCCTGCTATTTCTTTTTTAATGATGGACTTTGGCATTTTACCAACAACAGATGTTAAGCTTATTAACTTATAGTCTCCTGCTTTCTGTCTCCCTCCCTTCTTGAACGGGGTAAAACATTGGACAAATGCTAATCTGCTGGAACCCTCCTGGAATCCAGTATGTCTGGAATATTTCAAACAATGCTGCCACTATCTGTACAGCCACTTCCTTTAAAATCCGTAGATGCAGGCATTAGTCCTAGCAACTTGTCTGCCTTTAGTCGCATTAGTTTGTCAAATTCTTTGCCCCGTGAAATGGAGACTGTTACAAGATCTTTCCTCCCATTAGCACCTAGCTTTACTGTTATTTTTGGGGTGCTAATAGTGTCCTCCACCATATAGACTGCAAAATGTTAGTGTAAATTATCTGATGTAAATTAAATTTTCCTGTTCCTCATTATTAATGTCCCAGTCGCATCCTCCAAGGGTCCCATACTTATTGCAGCTATTTTCTTTATAATTTATATATGCATAGAAGTTCTTGCTGTTTGCTTTTACATTTCTTCTCAATTTACCTTCCTAATTCATTTTCTCCTCTTTATGAGCTTTTTAGTCATCCGCTACAGGCTCCTAAAAAAATTCCCAATTTTCTGGCCTACCATTAGTCTTTGTTATATTGTATGTCTTCTAAGCGTATACTCAGACAAGCAAACATGGACCTGCATGTTGAGGACTTAGGCATTGATTGAACTCAAATCATAGAACTAGTTTTTTTTTACCCCAATATTGTAAACTGCTGGCTGTATGAAAGCAAGTTCGCTTGAAGATTGCTAATGACCTTATACAACTTATGTATTTACAGTTGATATTTGGTCTGTTGGCTGCATCATGGCAGAGATGATTACAAGCCGGCCTCTCTTTAAAGGCATTGATCGTATCCTTTGCAAGTGTCTCTCTGGATAGTTGGCTAATAGGTCTCATAAAATGGCTAAGAGTTTCTCAGTAATTGATAGATAATATAATTGCTATTGGTGGGGGGAGGCGATGGCCTAGTGGTCTTATCACTGAATTGTTAATCCAGAGACCCAGATAATGCTCTGGGGACCTGGGTTCGAATCCCACCACAGCAGATGATGAAATTTGAATTCAATAAAAACCTGGAATTAACAATCCAATGATGACCGTGAATCCATTGGCAATTGTCAGGGAAAAACCCATCTGGTTCACAAATGCCCTTTAGGGAAGGAAACTGCCATCCTTAACTGGTCTGGCCTACAACATGTGACCCCAGACCCACAGCAATGTGGTTGACTCTTAACTGCCCTCTGGAAACTGGGTTGGGCAATAAATGCTGCCTAGCCAGCAACACCCTCATCCATGAATGAATAAAGAGAAAAAAAAGGGCCTAGAAAATTAGAGTTGGAGTCAGTCAGCAGCCAGTAGTTGACAGTGAGTAACTAAGTCATGTATTATCATCAACACTGAGGAAATCAAGTCTTTAGTGGCCTATAATGATGCCTACCTCTATCACATAAAAATTGCAAACTTCATTTAGTTTTGAAAATTTGTACTGATGTCAGACACCGCATCTCCTTTTGTAAAATCTACTGAGGTGAATTTTTTAAAGTTCCCCCATTTGTTAGCCATAACCTCTGAAGAGGACATTCCAAGAAAGTGGTGTCTCACGTTTCTGTTGCTCCTTTACTGATAGAGACTTCACATTTCCATTGCTCTTCTACTGATACTGAAAGGGCAAATGATTTGGATGGAAAATAATATCTCTCAGGAAAAAGGAGCAAAATCAAAATTTCTGCTAGAGCCAGACGCCTGTTTGTGAAGCAAACAGGGAGGCATAGATCGAGAATAAGAGGTAGAAGGTTTACAGGGAATTCAAGGGAAAATCTTTTCTCTCAGAATGGTGGGAATCACTGCCTGAAATGAGGATGGTATCCAGTCCTAGAATTGACCTTGGAGAGATAAAAACAGGAAGTTCTCTGAAATCCCCAGCAACTCTAACAGCATCTGTGGTTATAAGTCATTTTGAACATGAAACAATAACTCTTATTTTTCTCTCTCTATAGATGCTGGAGACCCGCTGAGTTTCCCTAGCACTTTCTATTTTTCAGCCTGTGCAGTATGTCGGTTTTAGTTTAGAGGGATTATAAACTGGATTTTATAGGGTGCATTCTGCTCATTCTATGGCCGTCCACACTGAACACGGACTCTCCATGGCAATAACATGGTGTGAGTGGCCCTACTGAGGTAGTTGTGATCCCTCTATGAGAGGATGTCCCACCCTTAGTAAATGATAGTCTATCTGATTGGCCAGCAGTCCAGCAGCCCCATTGGTGAGTAGTGCACTGGAGGGATAAACAGCTTGGGTCCTGGCGAGTGGTAGGTCAAGAGTATTGGACAAGGAGGGATCAGGGATCCTAACAATTGGTGGGGAGGTGGTGATGAGATGAGAGGCCTGAGGTTTTGGAGGCCAGGCATGGAGGAATAAAGAGAGAGAACATCCTGTGGGGATGTCAGGAGTGCTTCTAACACACGTAAGGCCCTGGAATGATGTGCACCTCTTCCCACCTTTTCAACAAAATGATACAAAGAGAATGATCTTTCCGCTCTCATCTGCCTATCATTGTCCAACGTTTTATGGAGGTGAAGGTGAATTGAGGTCTTCAAGTGGTCAATAATAGTCCAGGTAAGGCCGTCAATAGGCCGGAGGGCAAATCAGTGGATGCCATATTGGGGGGATGAGTTTGCCGAGGTTGTAAGGTGGTGGGGTGGCCAACCAACATATTCAATATGCCCCTGTTGCCCCACCATTGAAAATAAGCCCAGTGTGCGGCTGTAAATTCCAGCTGTTATTTCTGTTATCCCTTTCAGTATGCAGGCTTCATGGAATCAACCTTTCTACACAGAAAGCCATCTTAAAGAAGAGTTGGGAATTGGTCCTGGTGTCCTGGACAAGACTTATTTCATAAGTCAGCATCACAAAGAAAAGGATAAATCTCGAGATTACCACATTGCTGTAGTAGCAGCTTACCGTGTGTGAATTAGCTGCCACATTTCCCACAGTGCAACAATAACTACCAGGTGTCAAAATATTATTTTCTTGAGGGCTCGTCTTGATATTTTCTCAAGGGGTGTAAGCAACTTTTTAATTCTCAAGCACTCCTTTTTCATTCTTACTGACTCATTTATTTGATGATGCAGTAACAATACTTTCGATATTGATTTGACATATGGGGTATTTGCACTCACACAGAAGAGGAATTAGAATAATTCATCAATATCGTCAAGAATTGTTAAGTCTCCATTAAACTAAAAGCCACAACATACGAGGAAATCATTAATATCATGGACGCCAAAGAATTGAAATTGGTGCAACATAGTAGACATATATCGGCAAGGAATTTTTTTCCAAAATAACCTTCCACGGACTGGCAAGGTCACAACTAATATATTTCCATCACATAAGCACAAAGTTAAAACACTATAATCAGACAGTTGCAACCCCACTTAGTGCACTTCTGATCTCAATCTCAAGTTTAAACGGTTCATACATAGTTAGAGTCCATCATGATTTTCCCCATATAGCAACTCCTGAACTTCAACACTCTTAAACTGGAGGTTCTACATTCATTTGCAAAGGATTAATTATGTCAGTGACTTAAAATTTTCTTGGACCCCAGTTAGTTGTGTATTCCTGGTGATTGGTTTAAAACCATTCTCACATTCACAGCCTTCTACTCCCCTCTTCTCCCTCAGCCCACCCCGTTGCAGCTTCCTCCAGAGGTTCCTCCTCCTCCTTCTCCTCCTCCTCACTGCCCATCGCAGTCTCCTCCCCCAGTATTTCAATGGCCCCCCACCCCACCCCACCCCACCCCCATACATGGAATTCCTGTCCTCAGCAAAAGCAGCCCCCAGTCCCAGCATCAATAAGAGCTCACTCCCACATGCTGGATAAAATTCCCTTACTGCTGTCACCTTCTTACCTAGCAGCTCGCTATCCTTCCATTCAGAGGCTGCTTCTCCCCTGTTTCGGTGACCGATGCAGCGAATGTAAGGGAGAGCCAGAATGTGATTGGAAGGCCACCATTTCCTTCCATTCTGTTTGTGGGAGTGACTTCTTTCTGGTTGCCCAGGTGAGTGGATTTTTCCGGATGTTTTGGGGACTTCAAGAGACCAATTCACCTGCTGTCTCCTTTGGTACCAACACTTCAAAAGTACTTTATCAGCTGTAAAGCTTTTTGAGACTTCCTATGATCATGAACGGTGCTATATAAATGTAAATCTTTCTTTGACTATTTGTTGTTTTCCCAGTTGATTCTGTCTGCTTTTCACAGGTGATAATACCTCCGATACGTGTTGGATGTGTGGCATTCAACAGCAACACAATGGGTTACAGTGTTTAATTGATTTAATTATTGCCCTACAGTTTACAGCCACATGGTGCATCAAGCATGACCCTTGACTTGCAGTTTATAGATTTAGATCAACTGACAGAAATCATGAAAATAACAGGTACACCCACACAAGACTTTGTTCAGAAGCTACAGAGTCAAGAGGTAAGCAGAACATTTTAAACCTATACGACGTAACAGTAGAACATTTTAATTATTTAATGGTTCCTTTATTGTTACGACTTTAATGCTATCCTTTTGCAGGTTCTCAGCCCAACACACTGGCCAAGCTAAATTGAGCCAGATTGATTTTAGAATGTCATAAATTTTATGTAGAAATTGCAGATAAAAGCAGTTATAGAAATATTCTGCCAGCAGATAATATTAGGAACTTAAGTCAGCCCATCAAATCTGCAATTAGATTGTTTGTGTTGTGCACCTCAAATCCATTTTCCAACCTTTTCTGAAGCTCAGATCTAGGAAAGGGATTATGTTAGTGAAAATTGATTTGATTTTAACTCTAAGGCTGTAAGCATATGAATTTTGGGGCTGCTGGACTGCTCAGACAATCAGATAGGCTCACTCCTTCTGATGTTAAATGATAGATTTTAAAAGGTGTCTTCACATTTTCCTGCACAGTTTGTTATAGGACCATGTTAGCATTGGCTGAGTTGGTAGCATTCTCACCTTTATATCTGAAGGTGTGGATTCAAGTACCACTCTATGAATTGAGCAGCAAAAATTATGGCTGACAGTCCAGTACATTATTAAATGAGAGTGCTACATCTGTGGAGGCATTGTCTTTCAAACCGAGTTCCCAAGTGCCTTCCCAGGTGAATGTAAAAGAGCCATAATGTCATATAGCATGGAGACAGACTAACTCATCCATGCTGACCATGTTCCCAAACTAACCTAGTCCCACTTGCCTGCACTTGGCCCATATCCCTCCAAATCTTTCTTGTTCATGAACTTAACCAAATGACTTTTAAACATTATAACTGTACCTGCATCCACCACTTCCTCTGGAAGTTAATTTCACACACGAATTACTGTCTGTATAAAAAAGCTCCCCCTGTATCGTTTTTAAAACTTTCTCCTCTCACCTTAAAAGTATGCCCCCTAGTTTTAAACTCACCCACCTTTTGGAAAAGACCTTTGCTATTCATTTTATCTATGCCCCTCATGATTTTATAAACCTCTTTAAGATCACCCCTCAACCTCCTACCCTCCAGTGAAAAAATATCCTAGCTTTAATAACTCAAACCCTCCATTCCCAGCAACATCCTGGTAAATCTTTTCTGAACCCTCTCCAATTTAATAATATCCTTCCTATAGCAGGACAACCAGAACTGAACTCGGTACTCCAGAAGAGGTCTTACCAACATCCTCTACAACCTCAACATGACATCCCAACTCCTACACTCAGCAGTCTGAGCAATGAAGGCAAGCGTGCTAAACATCTTCTTAAACACCCTATGTACCTGTAACACAAATTTTAAAGCATTATGTACCTGAACCCCCAGGTCTCTGTTCTACAACACTATCCAGGGTCCTATAATTGTCTAAGTCCTACCCTTGTTTGGTTTACCAAACTAAAATATCTCTCATTTATCCAAATTAAACTCCATCTGCCACTCCTTAGCCCATTGACCCAATTGATCAAGATCTCTTTGTAATCTTAGATAACATTCTTCACTATCTACTATATCATCAATTTTGCTGTCATCCGCAAACTTATTTACCATGCCTCCTATAATCTCATCCAAATCATTTCTATAAATGACAAACAAAAGTGGACCCAGTACTAATCCCTGTGGAACACTGCTGGTCACAGGCCTGCATTCCGAAAAACAACTGTCCACCACCACCCACTGTCTTGTATCATGCAGCCAATTTTGTATCCAACTGGCAAGCTCACCCTGAGTCCCATGTTATCTAACCACTAATTAGTCTACCATGTGGAACCGTGTCAAAGGCTTTACTAAAGTCCATGTAAACAACATTTACCACTTTGCCCTCGTCAATCTTTTTGCCTACTTCCTCAAAAAACTCAGTCAAGTTTTTGAGACCCTATTTCCCACACACAAAACCATGCTGACTATCCCTAATCAGTCCTTGCCTCTCCAAATGCGTGTAAATCCTATCTTTCAGAATCACCTCCAACAACTTACCCACTACTGATGTCAGATCTCACAGGTCTATAGTTCCCAGGCTACTCCTTACAGCCTTTCTTAAATAAAGGCACAACACTAGCCACTCTCCAGTCCTCCAGCATCACACCCATGGTTACAGATGATACAAATATTTCTAGCACTGTTTCAAAGAAGAGCAGAGGAGTTATCCCCAGCTCCTCAATCATCACCACAAACAAAATAAAATAAAAGCAAAATACACCAGATGTTGTTGATGTGAAATAAAAACAGAAGGTGCTGAAGAAACTCAACAGGTCTGGCAGCATCTGTGGAGACAGAAGCAGAGATAACATGTCAAATTCAATAACTCTTCTTCAGAACTTCTGATGAAGAGTCCTAGGACTTGAAACATTAACTGTATTTTTCTGTACACAGATGATCGAAGACCTGTTGACCTTCTCCAGCACTTTTTTTTTAATACCTCGAGCATATTGTTGTTTCTGAATACTTGCTATGCGCAAACCAGCTGCCACATTTCCTACTTCAACAAATGACTACACAACAACATTATAATTACTACACCGAGTACTGGTGGTTGTGAAAGGTGCTATATAAATGCACATCTTTCTGCATTTTGTTACTTTGATAATTATAGTTGGCGATATACTCTTCGAGCTATGTTAGAAAACAAAGTCAGTAAAATATCTCACTGGATTATTGTTAAGATCCAGATTGCATGACATTTGATTACTTGTGCAATTATTGGTTAATTACACATTTCCTGTTTGGCTTATGATACTCTTTTTATGAGCATGCTAATTAGATTTAGTGCTGTTTCCAACTGCTGCAAGAGAAATGTTCAGAGATGGGTTACCATGGCAACAAAATGAAGGCAATCAGCCAAAACAATTACTATATTGGAGCTGAGCTTCAAGCGGATCTTTTCTTTGTAGTTGAGACTAAATTAATTGCCTACAACTTATATTTCTTATTGGAAACTAAGCAATAAGAAATGCTACAGTCTAAAAGTCTATTTCATTACTAATGCCGCTGATTGAAATATTGTATTTTAACTATGGCAACATCAATAGACTCATTCTCAAAGATATATTTCCTCCAAAAATAACTTACAAGTGAATGTAACTCATAAGTTATGAGGTACTAAACTGATTCCAATAAGCATAGATTTCTGTCTAATAAAGCTCCAAACCTTAACAAAGACGATAGAAAGTCAAAACTCTAAAGGGCTTCACGTGAGTGACATGGAGTTGAAAATGATGAAGAAAAACACACTAACTATACAGAATAAATACTTACTTGAAAATATTTTTAGATAGAGATGAAATTAATTAAAAATTAGGTTTCAATCTTCCCTCAGTGGTCACAGTGAAAGTAAATTTCACTGAAGGGCTGACCATTTGCTAACGATACAATGTAGTATTGAGAGGTGGGGCACTCTTAGAGGTGCTGGATCTTTAATGAGACATTTAAATTGATGCCTCACCTGCCCTCTCAGGTAGGCATAAAAGATACATAGAATCCCTACAGTGTGGTAGAAAGCCATTCAGCCCTACGACTCACTGACCCTCCAAAGAGCATCCCACCCAGACTCCCCCTATCCCTGTAACCCTGCATTCCCATGGCTAATCCACTTAACCTGCAACATCCCCGGCCACTATGGGCAATTTAGCATGGCCAGTCTATCTAACCTGCACATCTTTGGACTTTGTGAGGAAACCGGAGCACCCGGAGTCAACCCATTCAGACACGGGGAGAATGTGCAAACTCCATACAGACAGTCGCCTGAGGATGGAATTAATCAGGTCCCTGGCACTGTGAGGCAGCAGTGATAACCACTGTGCCACCCTGCCACCCAACCTTGGTGTCATTGAAGAAGGATTCTTGTGGTTTCTGGCAAATATTAAACTCTTAAAAAACATCACTATAAGCATATTATCCGATCATCTTGTTCATTTCCACTTGTGAGACTTTGCTGCATATAAATAATTATTGCATTTCCCTACAATGTAACAGGCACTACACTTCAAAAGTGCTTCCTTGGAAAGCATTTCAGAATGTGCTGAATTTAAGCAAGATGATATGCAAATACAAGATGTCTGTTTCTACACAAGTTGACATGAGGTGGCAGATGCATTTTCAGACTTCCACATTTATGAAGCGGAGACTTCATTGGTAACTTTAAACTAGAACTAAAAGGTTGAATGTCAATAAATTGCTATTTTCTTTTCAGCATTGAACAGATTTGAATAATGGCTCAATTTTTAGGAATTCTGAAATGTAGCAGATTTGTTTGATTTTGGCTTCAATGGAAAAGGTAGAAATGTATATTTTTTAACCAAAACATGTCTCTAATTGAAATAAAGTAGATATTTTTAAGATCTTACTGATATTTCTAGAGTTCAACATGTATAAGCAGGCATATTAGCAGTTTAACAATTTATTACACAATGTAAAGTTTAGTTTATTATATTCCCCAATAAAAACTTTGTATTTTTTAGATTATCATAAAATTAATTTTTAAAAATGGCATCAGATGTTCATATAGATCTTGGAACAATCTGAAATGAAATGTTTGAGGAGCCATTAGTTAACTATACAAAATACTCACAAGCTGCCAGAAACGTTGTGCCTTAAATGAAACATGTTATATATTTGCTTTCTACAGGCTAAAAATTACATCAAAAGTTTACAAAGGGTTCCAAAAAAAGATTTTAAAGCCCTGTTTGCAAATGCAAGTCAAGCAGGTAAGGGACTCTTATAAATTGGTAAGTCCTTGTGAAGTAATTAAATGGAGTATAGCAATATTCAGTAATAATCAGTCAGTGAAGCAATGAAATGTTCATTAACTATGGAAATTTAGGACAATTGTTGTCTGTTTATCAGGGCATTCAAAGATTATTGAAGCAATTTCTGCTTAAAACACTTTTAGTACTTCACTTCTTTAGGTAGATTCCAGTAGCTTCTGTCCATGCCGCAGTTTGTTTATATTACTGAAAATAACTGCCTGAATACAGATACACACACACCAAATTTTGTATGTGGCTATTATTCTGCCACTGAGATAAAGCAAGCTGTATGAGAAGTGTAAACATCAGGTGCTAAATCTCTAGAATATGAACAAAACCAGCGATAAGTCAGAACATTGATTGTAAATGGATGAATCAGTGCATGAATTTGACAGCTGATCAACCTAAACTGGTAATGGAAGGAGGTGAAATGCCATCTAAGGTTCATCACCAATATCCTTCCTCCGCAGAATGTGTTAGTGAGGCAATGGGGTTGGAAATTGATGTGCTTGTGGAAATGATGCCCGACCCCTTCTTGCCAATTCTTTGTGACCAATTGCAAGTACTACTGTGCCATCCAATGGACATTTCCTTGTTGATATAGGTGAGGGTGTTACCCTGAAATCAGACTTAAATTACAACTGGTGCAATTTTCCCATTGGTATTTTGGGGCCATTGGTATTTTTACACTTTCACTTCACAACTGCAATACTAAAATTTACATCTATCTGGTCAGTTTGTGCATGATTGTCAATATTTGTCAGTGCCAAAAAGATACTAAGAGATAATTTTGCTGGTGTCTCTTTTTCCTGACTGATATTTATTTCTAAATCAATATCACAAAAATAACTAGTCGTTATTCTACTGCTACTTGTGCAAACTTTCTGTGCATAAATTGGGTGCTGTTGGGTCCCACAATGTACTTCGACAGCACTCAATTAGCTGTTCAGCACTTTGAAACTTTGTGAAAGGCACTATATAATCAAAGATAACAAGGTGTAGAGCTGGATGAACACAGCAGGCCAAGCAGCATCAGAGAAGCAGGAAAGCTGACCCTTCTGAAGAAGGGTCCAGACATGAAACATCAGCTTTCCTGCTCCTCTTATGCTGCTTGGCCTGCTATGTTCATCCAGTTCTACACCTTGTTATCTCAGATTCTCCAGCATCGGCAGTTTCTACTATCTCTAACTATATAATCAAAGCCTTTTTTCAATTCTTTGAAACAGCTTGGCAGATTGTCCTACATTGACGTTTCATGTGGCATTGTTTTAAATTAGTTTAATAATGTGTACATGACATCATTCGTTCAAGCTTCAAATTTCAGTAGCTTAATGATATCACGTTGCTAACTTTGTTTTTTTTTCTCAAAACAGCCGTCAACTTAATGGAAAAAATGCTTGTACTCGATGCAGAGAAACGAATAACTGCTGCAGAAGCTTTGGCTCATTCTTATTTTGAGCAGTATCGAGATCCTGAAGAAGAGACTGTGGCAATGCCATATGACGATAGTTTTGATAACATGGATTGCACTATTGAAGAATGGAAACGTAAGCAATCTTCAAATATTGACTTGTTTTTAAAAATTGTTTTCAGGTTGTGATTCACACTAGATCACATAAATTGACCATCCCTGATGCTGGGACCCATGCAAAGGGTATTTAGAGTCAACTGCATTCTGTAGGACCAAAGTCATGTGCTGCCCAGTAAAATATTTGATTCAATGACTCTCTAATTTTGAATTAAAATCAGGCACCAGCTGGTATCCACATTATAAACAGGCTAATGAGACCCAGAAGAAGGTGCAAAAGAAAATATTGATTTGTAAGGATGAACTGTGCTGTTATTACTATCAGAATAAAGAACATTGAGGGGAAACCTCAGCAAAGTCTTTAAAGTTATGGAAGAACTTGATAGGCTTAATGTCCAGAAGAGTGGCATTTCCTGTTCTCCAGAGACCAAAACTGGGACCACAATAATAAGGTAGGACTCTCCTTAACTTATCCCCTCACCTAGGTTCAACCACTACCAGTCATCTCTCTTTAATGGGAGAGCAGCCTATGGTCTGGTAAAACTATGGTGACTTGATTTTTAGTCACTAATAAATTTAGCATGATGGCTCAGTGATTAGCACTGCTGCCTCGCAGCGCCAGGGACCCAGGTTCAATTCCAGCCTCGGGTGACTATCTGTGTGGAGTGTGCACATTCTCCCTGTGTCTGCTCCAGTTCGTTCCCACAGTCCAAAGATGTGCAGGCTAGAGGGATTAGCCATGGGAAATGCAGGGTTATAGGATAGGGTAAGGGGAGTAAGTCTTGGTGGGATGCTCTTCGGAGAGTTGGTGTGGACTTGTTGGGCTGAATAGCCTGTTTCCACACTGGAGGGATTCTAGCAATTATACCAGTTCATAACAAATCCAGTAGAAAAGCTAGAGGAAATTTCTTCACACAAAGATCAAAATGTAGTCATCAATATCTTGAGAAAAAAGTTAATGGGTTTGTGGGTAATTGGTCAGGGTGATGTAGTGTCTCAAATTCAAAGCTTTAAAATATAATGAAGGATGGGATTTTAAAACAAAACAGAACAAGTAGAGGAATATTCATTTGAAAGAGAAGAAGCGGGACAATGGATATTGGCAAGGCATTTCTTGCCAAATGTTGATTAGAAGAGTTTGGACATGCCATGTAATTATTGTTCCATTGAACATGTTTTCATTGATCATCTAATTTATGCACAACTTGTGTTCAAGTTAAATGATGAAATTCTCAGAAAAATTCTGTCTGGCCATTGTAAGGTTTCAAATTACCATCGTTTTCATTGCTCCCAGCACAGTTCTTAATTGGCCTGAGACCACAGTACAAACCTCTCACAAGTTGATGTAGATGTGTCTTCCATGTGGATGTCTGGAATAGGAAATGGAAAACTTCACCTGGTGAAGTTAAAGATGATCTAATGATATTTAGATTGAATCACATATTAAGGATAGAACTGAGACTATGCTTTAATCAGTAATTAATCTGTAGATTTCACTAGTGTTTAATGCTGATATTCTGGCACTGTACTAAAAAACTTGAAAATGTTAGATTCCCTCACACCTCATTCTATAAGGTCTACCTGGCTGATATCGTTACAGTTTTATTGCTGTTTATTTTTCATACTGTTAGGTCTTGTGATATTTTATTTATACTTCTGGATGCTTTGATTCACTTGTTGGTAAAAATACCACCAGGAGCAGAACATTTGTATAAGGCTCAGAACATCCTGGATTTGATTCCAGGTTCCTGTTGTAGTCAGTTCTGGTCAGGATTCCATACTTGATATACCAAGTATTAACTTATCTGTTTTCTCCACAGATGCTAGTGTTTTCAGTATTTTCCAGTCATGGATAGCCAATTTCAATTAAAATAGCAATTGAGATTTTACAGTTGGCCTCCGAATCAGTATGCTAGAAAGGGAAGAAATTACTGGAGTTCCCAATACTAATTACTCTCCAGTGGCCTTTGCTGTGGAAATGTACGATTCTGTTTAGGGTCACTTATCCATAGTTGAATAGTTTCAACTTATACATGAATATCTTCTTAGCAAGGTACCCATATAACTGTGACCTAGTAAGAATCGGTACCTTCAAGAGGTATGGGAAAGGACTCTATCTCACTGTAGCTGTTAAAATTTGTCAAACACGTCGCCATCCTCTAAAACTTTCCTTTTGTTGTCCTGCTTAATGACACCAGCCACACTTGGTTCCTTTTTAAGTTATGCACTTTTGGCAAGTACAGCTCTAGCAATGGCTCAGCTTTGTAATCCTCATATCTACTTCTAGAAATACCTCAGACATCCGTCTTTGGATCCTATTCTTGCTCGTGCATGTTACCTCTTGTCAACAACATCCAAAGACTCCAGTAACAACATAAATTAGCATATCTTTTGTAAGAGTATGGCTTTTAGATAGAGTGTCAGACTGTGTACTTTATAAGAAAATGTGTAAGACGCCAAAGACAAATTGAATAATTAAATTTGTGCAATATGTAAAGATGGTTTTCAAAGTTTTGGCAAAGATCTGTAAAAGATGGTTTATTGCAAGGGAATAAATTCATTTCTTTTCTGCCTAGGTCATACTTATAAAGAAGTGATTAACTTTAAACCATCAACTGGAGTACCAGAATCTAAAGAAACAGCAGTGTAACACTGGAATCATAGCTAGAATACAGAAGTAGTATATAATTGTGGAATGAGCAGCCAGCTCTGAAGACATTAATTCATTTAGTTGCTTGTTGTTTCAATGTTTTGAAAAAAAAGTACACAATTTTAAATTTATGTCTACAGTCTACAGTTCAGTCAGTGTAACTTTGTGTTTTGAAGGTCAAACTCTGCACCAGCGTTTCTTGGAAATACTTCAGTATTGTAACATTTTTAAATACTTGTGATTTCAGACTGAAATGTCTCCTGACAATAATGGAGTGAAAAAAAGGCAAAAGCAATCTTGTTATTACTCTGAACTTTTTCATGGTGCTACATAAATTCAAAAGTTGTTGTATCATCAGAGGATAGTTTCTCATTACTACATTGCCTGCAGCCACTTGCATACTCTCTTTAATTGGTGTATAATGTCTTTAATCATCATTCTTTAAGTGCTGTTAGCAAGATAATGTAGAGTCAATGTTAATATTCGTTGTGTTAAAATAATAACAAACACATAAGGGTATTGAAGGATGATTAATCTATTCTCAATCCCATTATAACTATTCTCAGACACTAATTCGAGATAATTATCAAAGGTTACATTTTTAAAATCCTTGACCAAAACTGACCATTAGAACTGGGCCAGCATACAGCACTGACCAATCATGTGGGATTTCCCACTCCAAGCAAATTAGTTCAGTTTTTCATTAATCAAGCTAATAATGGTAGTTCACTTATAATTTACAAATTGTATTTCAAGCGAATATGAAATTAACAGTATAAATCCATTAGGTAAACAAAAAAACCCCAAAGAACCACAGATACTGGAAATCAGAAACAAAATCAGAAATTGCTGGAAAAACTCAGCAGGTATGGTAGCATCTGTGGAAAGAAAGCAGAGTTAACATTTCGGGTCCAGTGATCCTTCTTCAGAACTTGTTGTTGCTGACAGCCCTGCTGAGTTTTTCCAGCAATTTGTGACTTTGTTTCTAACTTAATTAAGGTGCTGTTTGTTCCACTCAAATGGCTCAAAGACCAGTTATATGTGTTGCACTGAACATTCCTCTCAATCAACTATTGGAAATCTGCACTCTGAACAGGGTACATGCGACCTATCGGAACTGGCCAAATAACTGTGTCTCTTTAATCAGATTGAAGAATTGTTAGCTCACTGCACAGAGTTTGAATCAGGATGTGTCAGTTATAAAATTAAATCCAATGTCAAATCATCTACAGAAAGAAAAAGAGAAATACCCATAAGATTTAGGAGCAGAAGTCATTCAGCCCAAGTCTACTCCCTCATCCTGTGCGATCATGGCTGATCTAATAATCCTCAATTCCATTTTCTTGACTTTTCCCCAAAGACATTTTTTTAATCAGTAAAGGAATCAGTTATCTCAGCCTTGGATATACTTAATGATGCAGCCTCAACAGTTCTGTAGTAAAGAATTCAACAGATTCACCACCCTCTGAGAGAAGAAATTCCTCCTTATCTCTGTTTTAAATGTGCAACCTGTTATTCTGAGATTATGCTCTCTGGTCCTAGACTCTCCCACAAAGGGGTAAAATAGAGAGAAGGAACGTAAAACTGGATGATGAAAGACAGAAAGAAAAAGTAAAACTTATCTGAGTGGCCATTAATAATTAATATCTGAAGAAATGAGACCCACATTTATTAAAGCAGATTTCCAGCACTGGAGGGATTGTTTGATGATAATTAAAATTTAAAACACCATTAAAATATACTTGTTTTACACCACTCTATGTATTTCAATGCCAAGGTCCTTTAGATAACTTTCTGTTGCAGCCTATAGAGGAGAAGGGTATCTTGGACAGTAACGTCCTTTTATGCATTTAACTGATGTGCAACTGTTGGAATTGCTTTCTAATTTACATGAATATTAATGATAAGGTTCATTGCAATTTCTACCACAAAATCCACCACATTATCTCTCAAACTAGTGAGAGCATACTTCAACAATTTCCTCAGGGATGCCATCTAGTTATTTATGGTAACTTTTCTGTGTTTCCTTGTAAACTGTGCTATACATCATCTGGTATTGCATGTAGACACTCACCCACTACAACTAGCCTTATGAACCTTATGGCAGTAGCATAAAAACACTTTCTAAAGGAGCAATATTGACTGAATTGTAATAAATTATGAACTGTAATGCAAAGAAACCATGAGAAGTTAAAACATTAAAATATTTTTAAAATTTGAGGAATACCGTTGTTCCTGCTGGCTGCTTATGTTTATGCACTGGGTCTCATTGTTTGAGAAAATGTTACTGGAACATCATCCATGCTATCACAATTGCAATGTTTTGTCAATCTATTATATGTTAAGTATTCATGATATTGGAAGCAAAAAAAGACATCTACAGAGATCACCTAAATTGAAAATTGACTAAAGACAGAACATGGCCTAAAACTTTGATCACTGCATATTTCGCAAGCTGGGACCATCCTTTTACAAGTAATTGATCCCTGTGGGATTACATCCTAATTAACAAAGTTAAAATCACTGGACTGTTTGAATAGGGGTAGAAACCCAGTATGGGCTTTTAGAGTCAGGTGGGCACCACAGGGACTGGGTACATCATCATTCTGGATGAAGATATTTTGATTTGGTTTGATTTTGATAAGTTTCCATTCCAGTTTTATAAGTTTCCATTAACTATTTGATTTTGTTTTTGTTACAGTGTCCCAACAGGGGCTGTCTAACTTGAAGTAATATTTTGTTTTAAAAGACCACTTTCTCAAGGGCAACCAGGGATGGGCAATGAATGTGGGCCCAGCTAGTGATTTCCATGTCCCACAAGTGAATACAAGAATAGGTAGAAGCCTAGTAGATATGGATTAACCTCAAATAATAATCCTTCTACACTGGGATCACATACTTTTAAATCATAGAATCCCTACAGTGCAGAAAGAGGCCGTTTGGCCCATCAAGTCTCACTGACCCTCTGAAGGGCATCTTGTCCAGACCAACCCATTCCCATAACCCTGCATTTAGCATGGCTAATCCAACTATGTCCCTGGACCTTACAGGGCAATTTGACTTGGCCAATCCACCAAACCTGCACATCTTTGGACCATTGGAGGAAACCAGAGCACCTGGAGGAAACCAGAGCACCTGGAGGAAACCAATGCAGACACAGGGAGAACATGTACACTCCACACAGTCACCCGAGGGTGGAATCAGACCCAGGTCCTGGTGCAGTGAGGCAACAGTGCTAACCACTGAGCCATCGTACCCTTCCTGTTGAAGCCTTCCTCTGCTCTCCATACCTGAGAACTTCTGGCCTCATGTCTTCTGAGGATATTAAGAAGGAAAACTTAGCATCACATATAATTTGTGTTGGTCAACAACTGAGAATAGCATCCATCAATCAAAACCCTGTTGTAATGGGTAGTATTGTTGTAGACTTTAAAAAATTAAATGACTTTAAAGTCTTCGAAACATTCACATGGATAAACTTCAAAATTTGGATCAGATCTTTTATCTCTACTCTCCTGATTACCCAAGTTATGCAATTATTTTAATATCAATGGTGAATTGCCCATATGGCATAGATAAAGATAAAGGAGTAGAAGAGAAACTGGCAGCATAGGATACTACAGAATGCTGCTAGTACTTAGCTTCACAGCCAGTTAAGCCACCTATAGCCTAATTGAGTTTGAGATGTCCTAAAGTTGCGATAGGCACTACACAAATGCATATCTGTATTTTTCTTTAGTCAAACAAAAATGTTTACATTGACCTCACCCATCACCCAGTTAATCAATGTTAAGGTAATTTGAGGTGCTGACATTCTCAAAGTTAGATACTAAGTCAAGGCTTTGGTGTGCACAACTGGGAAAAGATTTAGTCATAATAGTCCACATACTCCAAACAGGATTTAAAACATTATTTCTTATCCCGATTAGATTAAAAATTACATGTTTACCTTTAAATGACTTCTATGCTGGAGATTCCTGGTTAAAGTCCTGTTATAAATCTGACCAGGAATCCAGTAGGGCAGACGTTCTTTGTGGAAGCAAGGCCCCTTTTGCAGCAGTCATTGTACTGTGCTTTGATTTACTTTGACAGTGACTGTGAAAGGGAAAGAATGTAAGATAGATGTGGAGTTAGGGTGGCTGTTGAGTAAGTGTTTAGGTGCCAGGATATAAGGGACATAGGGTGCCAGGTAATTAGATGAGTGCTTAGGGTAGATTGGGGAAGAGAGGGATATCAGGGCAGGCAGGTGAGAAAATAATGCTGAGTGTGGGTCCGGTCAGACCAGTAAGTTAGTTGGGGAAGAGGGAGGACATTGTCAGGTCTACTTAAAAGGGCGTGTCAAGTCAGGGAGAGAGGATGTTGGATCAGTAGAGTTTGGGTTGTAGTGTTGGTGTTGGCAGGTTGGAGGGTGGGTGTTGGCTCTGGGGTGGGTGTAGATGTCTGGTCATAAGTGGATGTCCGATCCAGTAGGGTTAGTTTGTATTGGATGGGGTGCAAGGTTAGTGGTGGTGGTTAAGTACCAGGTCTGGAAGTCAAGGCAAGTATAATCAGGGTATCTGTTTAATAGTTGTGCAGGAGAAACAGTAGGTTTTAATCACTTAACACTCCTTAAGCATAACTGAGTCAGATGCTTCAAAGATTCTGACTTTAAGGGGCTTTTTTGAGAGTTCCAGATGCAGAGGAATGCATGTTTCAATTTACCAGGCAATCCCCACACAGTCTGCTGCATTGGTGTTTCTGCACTGGCCCAATATGTAACTCCAGACCACATGGGCCCCAACTACCTGGTCATTGGAATATCTGGGTTGTTATGTTTATTACTGTTTCCAAGAGACAGAAACTCCACCCGTGTACTTCCTCTTCCTTAAAATAGCTCCAATTGCATTGCTGTGACTAAACATTGCATCAGTTGCTATGGTTCATGTTGTAACTTATGCTAAACCAAAACAAACCCATGCAAATTTCACAACAGTTTGGTCATGGTAGAAGTTAGCAATAAATCTGTCTGAATGGACAAGATGTAATTGCTTACATCTCAAAAAAGTATGGAAATCTCCCAAGTTATCATGTGACTCAGTTTAACATGAGAAGATGAGACTGGATTACCATTTCCTGTACCACTCACTTTTGGGATGTCCTAACATCATGAAAGATGCCATCCTTTAGATAATTTATTGATGGTTGGGTACCTAGGTAAGCAGTGGGAAGAACAATCTAACCTTTAATTTTGCTTGTTGTGGCATCGTTGTGGCACTGCAGGAGGCCCAGGATGGACATGTCGTC